TCTGGCATGAACTGACTATAAACGTATAATTTCGTTTGAGCAGGTACATAATTTGTGGATCTCATACGTTTAGCCAGCCAGAAGCAGCACTTCGCAGTTAATAGCAGGTTGGCTTATGTTGTGTCACTGATATTAAAAGAAAGAAAGAAAGAAAAAAACCGATTTGAGTGGATTAGTGTCTTTTATTATCCAAATTGTTGTCAATTAAGAGGTAGTAAAATTTGAATGGCAAAACACAAGACCGGCAATCAACAGTTCACATTGTGCCCAGAAGGAGAAAAAAAAAACTAAATTAAAACAGTCCCCCGGACAAATAGGAAATGCTTGTTTATATTCTACATAGGAACTGAACACAATTAAATATTCACAGCAGGGCTCAGCAACAGTATACTTTATTTTAAACTAAATGCAAAGGTAGAATGATGTAGGCAGTTTCACAAATGGAAAAATGGACAGAAATTAATTACTCCAAGAAATAGCTTGGCTCTCTGTAATAGCCTAAGAATAGTGTTATTAAAAGTTAGCTACCGTTAGCAGTTTTGTGGTAAGGATTGTGTAATAAAGTGAGTGTGGGATAAACTCGTCTCGCTCCCCCCATAAAACTTAATTGCTTTGGCTTTGCTGGCCCTTTCCATTCTATCACTCTCTAATGTATGGTTGCCTGGAATGTTTTTGTGTATTATATAGTTCTTACCGCACACTGGCTCTAGCAATGCGCTTAACTTACTCACTGTTGGTTCACTTCTTCATGACAAAATTGTCTGAACTTGATGGTGTTGAAAGAAATGACACTGAAATGTATTTCCTTCGGTGTACTCCCATGTGCAACCACTAATGAGATAAATAAAGTAATTTAGTGGTACGGCCCCTGTTAATTGTCTTATTTAGGATGCGTAGGCTTGCGGCAGGCTGCGACGCGCCGTATAGTTGTATTCTTCAGTTTATTTCTCAGTTAGTAATGTACCACTGTGGTTCTGTGTCATAACAGAGTGCACATTCAAGCCCACAGATGCTTGTAGCTTGCACACTGGAATGTATTTCTAACCATATGCAATTACGGTTGTGTTAGCCTTGCGGTTTTCATCTTGGTATGAGACCATGTATCTGGATATTGTGGTTAGGCTGTGACAGCTGATGACAGAATTACGGCTATAGTGTATATTGGACAGCAGTCATGGGATTTTGCAGAGATGTAGAGAATGTTTTTGTCAGTATTGTAGCTCAGCGAGCTAACGTTGTAATCATGATCTGTTTTATGAGTTTAGTTTCATGACACGGCCGAGAGTATTGAGCAAAAGGGATGACCGGTTTCTGTTCTGGCATTTAAGTGATTAGACTACCAGCAATTTTCACATAACCATTCATTTTTTATACTGTTTGTATCTACACAATGAATCTCTTACCAGGATTACTTCTCAGAATTTGATTCTTGTAAACTGTAAGTTATTAAGTGGCACATCTGGTCAATATTGTAGGTGGAGTATTTTAGGCAAGTCCCAAGTTCTAAAACAAATGAATGATTGTTACGTAATGACCTCAGGTATATCAGATGGGAATCCCATTGACATGTCTGATATGCCTGTAAAATCTCTCCATAAGTATGGTGCACATGTAGGCCTAACTGATAACTGGGATCCAACTCATTTTAATCCCTCATGAGATTGCTGTACCGCAACAAAATCTCACCTCAGAGACAACTTGTATGTACAGTATGAGTGTGTATCAGTTAGAGTTCGGTTTTTAAATAGCTTTTCAGATCGTTCTACGAATATAAAAGGAAATATTACATTTAAGGCTAATGAAACACATCAAGGTCGGTAGTAAAAGCAGAATGAATCAGATGGAATTCTGTAGCTATTTTCTGCGAGTTCATCATTTCCTGTCTCACACACAGCCATTTAAGAGCATTGAATAAGATTTCATCTCGCAGCGCTAGATAAATGCACGGGCCATCATACGTGGACTTAGGTCTCAAAGTTCACAATGAAAAGATGTCAGGATGTATTATTAGATTAAGCAGGCATATCACGGATACATTTTCTTTATCTTTTAAAACACTTTGGCTTGCTCTTGCAACATGCTGTCATGTCTTCTCCTTTTAGATCTAGGCTTCATAAATACAGTGAGAGTAAATGAGTTTACCTGTAATCTGCTGATTCCACAGGTATGATGCTGTATTCCCACAGAATTCCCCCCCCCAAAACCAAAAGATCGGATTTCTCACCTCACAGACCTGCAGCCTAACTTCCTGATTTATGCCACTGAAAATAGTGACAAGACAGCTGATTATGGATTATTAATAAATTCTGACCCTTCGCCAATCTTAATTATCAGAGCAAAGCTGCCATTTTGTATTTAATATCTGTGTGATGGCCATGGCCACACAGGGTAACATTGCCCCACAACACCACACTTTTTCACCATATTAGTTCAGTCTAGTTTCATTACTTTGTTATCTGCACAGGTTTATTTCATTTGCAGTCAAACAAACTTAAATAATTCACATCACACTGTCTGATTTATAATTTGTTTATTTGCTTTAGCTTTACATTGTTTAAATGGAGTGCACACATTTTTACAGTGTATAGTTTAGCAATCATTTGTTCTATTAATCTGTTTTGTTTGAGTTACCGTGCTGTTTGGAAGGTCTCTGGCTGCTGGGGAAAAAGGTGTGGCTGTGGGTGAAGAGCCCTTAAATACCGGAGCCAGCTGATTGGACACAACCACTGCTGCAGATGTCATGGGGGGGTTTCAGGGTTTAGTTAGGTTTCTTTGTGTTTAGTATAGTTTGTGTTAATTGTGTTGACCCCTTGTGTGTTATTTGGTTTGGCCAAGCCTGTATATAAGTTCCCTTGTGTGTCATTGTGTTAGGTCAGTTTGTTCAGTTCACATCTGGTTTAGTTGCTATTATACTGAGTTCAGTTATATTTCTTTGACCTCTTTTATAGGCCTATTTTGTAATATTTGCTTGTGATTTAAGTTCAATTTTGGGTGAATAAAACCCCTTTTTTCATTTAAAACTCCTGTTTCCTCATTGCCTTACTGCTTGGTCCCTGACAATCAGCAATCATAACTGCTATCAGTTAGGTCCTCTCTGAATTACTAATTTTCCAAGGACTCCATTTGCTTTGTGATAGCGGATTCAGAGGGTAGGGCTCTCTTAAATAGTACATATGAAAGGTTTACCTCAAAACATGCCTGCTTAGAATTCATCTGCTGGAGGGCAATTCATCACACATGCAGGAACAAGGGCACAACATATCTTTGCTTGTTGATTAAGACAGTTTCTCCCATTGCAACTTTCAATACAATTGACCCTCAAAACAGGAAATGAGTTTTATGTGCCCCAGGCCTTATTAAATGCAGCCTGATGTATTCAAATATTGTATTACCACGATGTCCAAAATGTTGTTTGTATTGCACTGCATGAGGTAGAATACACTTACTGCTGCAATCTCTGTCCCTAGCAGTTGACATTACTGCTAAATAAGTCGGACCACATCGACCTGTCTCTCAACGAATCCAATTTGCAGACCAGAAGTCTGGGTTACGGGACCCCCATTTTGAGACATCCCGCCATCTAGTGGTAAAAAAAAAAAAACAAAAACAAAAAAAAAAAAAAAAACTTTTTTGGAGCCATGTTGTTGTTCAATGTGCATTCCTCCAGCAAAGCAAGATGACTCAGTTAGCGGGATAACTGCATGGAGTGAAACCGGGCAATCTCTCAAATTTGAAACAGGACTGAAGGAAAAAGAGCTTTTCTGGGTTTTATTTTGAGCAGTTAGCTGGCTAACTTAGCGATCCTGCCTTGTTGAACAGGCTCCTGGAGTTTTACGATTAGAGCATGAGCCAATATTTGGAAACTGTGGGCAGTAATAATTGGCATCATCTCAAATTTAGTTTTTTTTTTTTTTTAATAGTTTCATATTCAGTTTATATGCAGTGTTCAACTGCAACAAGTAAACTGACAATCAAATTTTGGAGGTACTGCTTGCCTTCTCCCTTCAAGTCATAATCCGAAATCAAATGCGAACACACAAACCGCCTTGGTAAGTCATTCTAAAGATCCTGGATCACAAATACCCTTATTATTATTATTACTATAAGAACATACAGGCCAATAAGGTTCATACATATCATTAAAGTGCGGTGGTGTATTTTCACCAGTTCACCAGAAATAATATTGGGAGCTTGTCTTAATGTTATACTACCCAAGTGCAGGCTTCAAAAAACGATCTGCATGCTAATGGACCCAATTTCACTTCACAGGGATCAAAAAACTGCCCCTGAGCTACAATTCGTATATTTAAGGGCCTTTTTCTGGGCCTTGTAGTGCTCATTTTGGATAACAAAACTAGGCAGGTCAGCATTCAAATATTTAACAGAAACTATAAGCAAGGGTTAACACATTCACAGTAATCCAAATTCTCTTGCTCCCAACAGAAGAGACCTTATGATACAGTTTGAGTGCCCAGTCTACATCTATTTGCTAAATATTATAGTAAGAGACATGTTTGCGAGGACAGGCCATAAGCTGAGACAAACGTAATTGAACCCCACGGGGTGATTCGTCCTCTACATTTTACTCATCCAACAAACCTATGAGTGGTGGGCAGCCTCAGTGCAGAGCCCAGGAGCCAACTCAAGTTCTAAAGCCAGAGTCTTGGTCAGGGCCACTGGTAGGAGGGTTACTATAGAGCAGGGCTATTCAACATTATCCAGAAAGGGCCGGTGTGGGTGCAGGCTTTCATGCCAACCAAGCAGTTACGCACCTGATGCTAATAATCAAGCTCTTTAGCAAAGACTCTTGGGGTTGATTAGTAGCATCAGGTGTGTAGCAGCTTGGTTGGAATGAAAGCCTGCACCCACACCGGCCCTTTATGGATAAGGTCGAATAGCCCTGCTATACAGCATGTCTTTCAGGGAGGGGGAAACCAGAGTACCCGGAGAAAACCCACGCGAACACAGGGGGAACATGCAAACTCCACGCAGAGAAGTCCTAGCTGACCAGGACTGGAACCCGGAACCTCCTTATTGCAAATCAGCAAAGCAAACCACTGCGCCACCTTGCTGCCCAGTGCACGGCGCAACCCGCCATGTAGTTTTGATTGCCAATTAAGACGCAGTGTATCCGCTACACAAAGTGGGGACGTACCACACGGTACACAGGGTGAGGCGCCAGTATGCATCGTCCCTGCCCCCCCACTACCAGTTTGTTATCGAGCTTTGTTACCAGTGATCGTAAACAGTCGTGAACAATACCCCACATCATCATAACATAGGAAAAGAGCAAGAAAAGGTAAAAGAAAGGAAAAAAAAGAGGGGAGTGGTTTTTACATGTATTAAGTTGGTGAGCATCCCAGACTGCAGTCAATTTGAACCACTGAGCAATGAGCTCAATGATTCATATGAATCTGAATGGACAAAAGACATTGGTTGGAGGGGCTCAGGTAACTGAGATTCTGTTAATCAATACTATTGGTCCCAATTTTGATCCATGCCCACAATAACATGTTATAAGTAAAACTGTTTCCCAGAAAATGAAAGCAAACAATTTTTGATGTGAATACACACATTTTTATCAAATATATTCCTTAAGATCGTTTTGTATAAAATATTCAAAATTACCTAAATTCTGAACATTTATTTTTTAAAAAGTTACTTTTGAATCAAGCTTGTCGTTAAATACATCCCAATGCATAACATATTTAGGAGGGACAAATACAAATTCAAAAACTGCATGAAGAAAGTTTATTTTTTGTATACATTACAGCATTTGGTGATCTTTTTAGCGCTGTAAAGATGTATTTGGATGACATATCAAAAGTTGAGTAATCACAGAGGATATCACATTGCATTTTATTTAGTTAAAAATATCACACTCTAAATACAAATGTCAATTAAGAACCATAAAAGTGTAGCCAAAATATTGACATTTATGCCAAATATGTATGCAGTATTGAAATCTGTAATACTTTGAAGTATTCATTTCTCTCAATTTTAATATACATCTTTCAAGGTATATTTATACAAAATATCTATTGATTTGATACTGCTGTGTTATAGTCAAATAATGACTGAGTAACAGAAGCAAAGGCAAAACTAAAGGACTCCTTGTTTGCAAAAAAAAAAAAAAATCTTACAACAAAAATACACACATACTGTCGCTTAACTGCATAATACAACTGAAAATATGGACAATGCAGTTATTTGATTAAGTCATATTCTTTAGAAGCCAAATTCTGGTGAACATAATACTAGCGAATTAAATGGGATAAGGAGTGTCAAATTCATATCCTTGAGGGCCAGAGCTTGTGCTCATTTTGTGGTTTCCTTTCAATCACCAGCCCATTTTGTGTGAGAACTCCACAGAGATAAACGCTTAGTTGCAGCAAACACTCCAAGACAAGTAGCAGTTTTACCCTTCAGAAGCTAAGTGATATCGCAGAGTTCGACCGGCAATGGTGTTTTCATCCCAGGAAATCTGAAATGCTTTTCTTCTTGGTCACTGAAGTTAATACGTCCTTAACTCCCTCATCGAACACTGATGCCCAGGTGCCACATGGAGTACCGCAACGCGATTACGCGAGCCAGTCTGTTCGTGTATCGCTCAAACAAGTGCATTTGTTAGTCATGTTAAAAGACTATGTTTAGCAAAATCAACATTATTGGTAATGAAATGAAGATAAAAACAAAACGCAAGTGCAAATTCGTAATTTTTTTTCTTGTAGGAGTGAACAGCCAAGGGGTCTCCATGTACAGCATTAGCCATAAAATGCAAGTCTCGCCCTTCAGTTTAAGACAGCAGAAGGTAGAAAAGAGGATGGGCATCACAGCTTAGTCATTGGTATGTGCAGGTTGTTCCAGGGTCCCATCCAAAGCTCCTCGTCGTCGGAGTGCGTGTGCTCGCTGTGCGACTCTAGGGGTTCTTTCACCGCCTCGTTATTCAAGGCGGTCTCCTGCTCGTCCGTCCCGGTGTGGCCCCTGTCGACCCTGGCTTTTGTGATAGACTTTGGCGCCCCATTTTCCGGTCCTGTGCTGCTGGATCCCAGTGAGCTGCTGGAGGGCCTGGTGTTGAGGTTGAGATTGAGATTGAGGTTCAGGTTCTCGTCGGTTCGCGGGGAGGACACCCCCACCGCGGAGACGACGCGCACCCCGCTCAGAGGAAGCCTCTCCTCCTGGGTCACGCCCAGCTTGTCCAGCTTTTTGAAATGCTTGCCCAGCCGGGCGGGGGAGCACACCTTCAGGTTGTTCGAGTGGTGGCCAGGTCTCCTGGTCCGGATTATGGAGCCGTTCTGGGCCAGGTAGACCGTCCCGTTGACGTTGCTGTGGCTGCCCAGGTTCGACAGGCGGTTCCTCTGGGATTCTGGACCACTGTCGTCCCCCGTCGAGCTGGTCTCGTGCTCTCGGTCCACCAGCAGCTTCACCCTCTTATTCCTCCCGTACTGAGGATGAACACCGACAGGTCAGTTACTGCACAGCTCAGAAAAACACAGACAGGTCAGTTTCTGGATTGCTTAGATGGGCTGAACAGAGGGGAGAGGAGGGTCCCTGTTCATCCTGTTCCACCATTTCAACATGGAACTGCTGAAGTTCCAGAAAAAATACTGAAATCCAGTTAATTTAAAAATATCTCTATAGCACAAAGCAAAAAATAAGTACATTTTAATTAAATCTTAATGTAGACTTAAACTCTTATCCCTACATTTTTTCTAATTCAAAGACCAAACTGTTGCCATTGAGTTGATACTGAAAATTTGCCAGTTGGGTGAAAATGTCATTTTCAATCAGTAATTTAAAGCAAGTCTGTTTTTTTTCTCATTACAAGAAGAAATCACTTGTTTAGACACTTTATGCCCTGCTTATAGTGACTGAAATAAAATTCATATCATCCCAATGACAAACAAGTCAAAAACAGCCAAGAGTCCATCGAAACGCACAATCATTTTTCACTTTGCTCTTGTCAGATTAAAACAAAATATACTTATCTTGTAATTTTCTGCAAGAGCCAGAACAAAATGTTCAGCAAGAAAGAAATTAGGCAATCCTGAATTTCTTCCTTTTAAAGATAAGGACAAAGTGCTTTGCATTTAGACTGTTTCTGACCCTTTGAGTGATAAACAGTTTCAGAGCACATTACCAAATCAAAGAAAAACAGCAATACCATGCATGCAGCAAAAGGCAACGAAACACAAACCCAGAGGCAAAGATGAATGGTAGGAAAACAGAAAAAAGCTTTAGGACTCAGGGAAAAACTCATTTCTAAAGCTGTTTTTAATGTTCCACTTTACACACAGTTTCCCGGTGTCTGGAAGCACATCAGAGAGGAGCTCTTTAAAAGAAGAGGAGGGTTTGGCCAGACTGAGAGCACAGCAAACAGCTCACTCAAGCAAGAGACTCGACTCAGCTTACTTCACTGGCCTGCATTTCATCTAAAAAGAGGTGCCGTCTCCCTCACTGTCCGACCCCTCTTCATCGCCGTCCTCGTCCTCATCATTGGTGGCGGTCGCAGAGCCACTGCGAGCCATTGACGCCTCACTGTGGCCGCTGTCCGATGCCAGACTGTGGGACGATTTGCTGCTCCGGATAGTTGTTTTTCCGGAGGTTATCGCATCCTCGTCGACTTCAGTTATAGGCGAGAGGCCGTGGAACTCGTCCGAGCTTTCCACCGCGCTGCTGCTGCCCTCCGAGCCGTACGGCGTTCCCACCTGCGAGCCCAGACTCCCTCGGGTTTTCACAGTGGAGACACTAGACCTCCGGGACACGTCCCCTACACTGGACTCGTCTCCAGAGGGTTTCGACTCTCCATCATCTGATGCCTCCTCTTCGCTCTCCTCGTCGATTGTGTCTTCGGATCCTCCGGAGAGGATGGACTTCCGGGACTTGCGGCTTCCCCCGGAGGACTTGGACCTCCCGGAGCTTCTCTCGCTTCCGGACTGCGAGCTTGCGCCCGTCGTCTGTCGACTGGAGGCGCTGCTACGCATCGACCGGCTATCTTCCGACTCGCTAGCCTCAGCCGCCGAGCTCCCACTTTGCTCTCCACTCCTGCTGCCCTCGCTCCCAGAAGCATCTCCCCCGGATCGCCCCGAAGACCCTCTGCTCGACTCGGCAGAGGAGCGGATGGAGGACTGCCGAGAGGAGGCCTCTGACAACGAGGCGGAGCCGCTGACATCACTGCTCCGCCTACTTCCCACTGTCCCTCCGCTTGACTTCTCTGAGGACCCCCGACCGGTGGCGGTACCGGACGACTTCACAGAAGCACGGGCAGAAGAGGACATCTGAGAACCGGAGCCTGTAACTCCAGAAACAACGCTTCTCTCCTCATCATCATCCTCTTCTTCTTCTTCAGAATCTTTCTCTGTACCAGACTCTTCTTCCGTTCCCGACTCTCTCTCAGTTGCCGATTCTCCCTCTGTTCTCGACTCTTCCTCTGTCGCTGACTCTCCCTCTGTTCTCGACTCTCTCTCTGTTCTTGACTCTTCCTCTGTTGCCGACTCTCTCTCTGTTCTCGACTCTTCCTCTGTAGCAGATTCCTCCGATCCGGACTCTTCCTCCGTGCCTGACTCCTTTTCCGTTTTGGACTCATCTTCAGTGCCAGACTCCTTCTCTGTTGCGGACTCTTTTTCTGAAACTGACTCCTTCTCCGAGCCTGACTCTTCATCTTTCTCAGATCTTGACTTACTCTCCGCATCCGAGTCCTCGTCAGGCTCCTCCATTTCCTCGTCTGAGTCCACCGTGCTCTCGTTGGCGTCGTCACGGTCTAGATCCACTTTGAGGTAGTGTTTATCCTTCTTCTTCCTGACGGAAGCTGAAGACTCCTCGCTGGAGCGCTCTTTCTCTGCCTCCGATCCGCTGACCTCCGGCTCACTCTCCCCCGTCACGCTGATGGAGACCTTTGACCTCTTCTCCTCCAGCTCTGACTCGCTGGCGGCCTGCGACGACGCCTCTTCCTTATCGCTCTCGGCTGCGGAGCTTCGGCTCACGCTGCTCTGGGACCTCCGCCGCTGCTGGAGCTTTTTGGAGATGTTAATGCGCTGCAGAACCTTTCCCAGCCTCTTTCTGGCCGACGGCT